AACTTGAAATTCACAACTGTTGGCAGTTTCGGTAGATTCCAGTTCACTAAATGGCTTAGCGTTTGTGTCATTGAAAATACAAAAGGAAAACATCAATAGACTTTTTGACACATCATGTATTTTAAAACAAACTGATGATTTTGTAGTCTGTGTAGTTGTTCAAAGAAATAGAAGCTTCTTACGCACTAGAAGGCTTAGAGGAGCTTCACAGAACCCTTAATGGTGTTTTCATTCTTCTTCTTGACACTAAAGGAGAAAACATTGCCAACCCTGAGTCTTATGGAGGTAATACAGAGCAGACTTTCAGACACTAATACATTTAATTCTGGACTTAGAGGTGTAAATCCTACTTTATTTTTCTGTGACATTTAAAAAATATTTTTAAGTAGCCAAATAAACATAGTAACTATAGAAAATTAGGAAATATCCATTGTTAACATTGTTGTTATATGTACTTCCAGATTTTTTCTATGCCCGTGAATGTGTGCATAACATATACTTTATGTGGATATAAATGACTGTATTATTTTATTTTTACAAAAACTGAATTATACATACCTTTTGGTAAGCTGCTTTCTTTTCCACTTGACAGAATATTATTTTGACCCTACCTTTAAATAAGGGCAAAGAAAATTGCACAGTTTCCCCCTTTTACTGCAAAACCACCTTCACCATTAGATAGTTCTTTTTTTTTTTTAATAAGTAAACTTCTGTCCCACCATGCAGCTAAAGTCTTATTTCTTTGTATACCGTTATTAATGAAGCTGAAGAATTACTCTCACTATATTACATGTAAATGTAATTCAACATTTTAGAACTGTAAGATGTGGGACATACTGCAGAAGGATATGGATCTGTTCTCAGGGCATTTAAGGTAAATGAGGAATAAAAACAACAACAAAAACCATACAGAATATCTCACTGCAAGGCAGAGTCAGGAGAGGCAAACAAAATGATGGGATTCTGGGTGAGACAGCATTCTAGGCAGGAGCTGGGGGATTTCATGAAGGGTGTATCTGAGGTGGGTTTTTTTTAATATATATAAATTTGTTTTATTTATTTATTTTTGGCTGCATTGGGTCTTCGTTGCTGCGTGTGGGCTTTCTCTAGTTGCGGTGAGCGGGGGCTACTCTTTGTTGTGGAACGCGGGCTTCTCATCACAGTGGCTTCTCTTGTTGCGGAGCACAGGCTCTAGGTGCGTGGGCTTCAGTAGTTGTGGCTCGCGGGCTCAGTAGTTGTGCCTTGTGGACTCTAGACAGCAGGCTCAGTAGTTGTGGCTCACAGGCTTAGTTGCTCCGCGGCATGTGGGATTTTCCAGGACCAGGGCTCAAACCCGTGTCCCCTGCATTGGCAGGCGGATTTTTAACAACTGCGCCAGCAGGGAAGCCCTGAGGTGGGTTTTATAGAATGGATGACGTTCAGTAGCTGAAGGGAAGTCCAGTTAGAGGAAGTCCAGTGAAAGGGAGAGAGAAAGAAGAGAGATCGATAACTGATCAGAGAGAAAATACCAGAAAAGGCATGGAGGAAATCTTTGTTAATTTCCACCTATGCAACTGACAAAGATTTTTTAAAGTAATATTTGGTGCTGATAAAAGTGAAGTGAGATAAGTACCATCACTATACTCTGTTTGGAGTATAAATTGGTGCAGCATTTATTTCTGGAAAGCAATTTAGCGTATATGCATTGATAGCCTAAAAATGCTCGTAACTTTTGGCCCAATAATCCCATTACTGGTGAGATGGTTAAAGATGTGCCCCAAATTTTTATATGTAAGGATCTGCATCAAATTGTTCCTCATAGTCATGAAAATATGGGAAAACCCTAAATGTTCAAGTGTATACAAAATTCACAATTGTATATAATTTTTAAATGTTCTACTTTGAGCTTATATGAGTTGTTTTCATTTAATTAAACTTTGAAAAAAAGAAGAATACAGGTTGTCTGTTCAGGGAACTGAGTAGTCCCCCTTCTCTGGAGCCCAGATTGTATATTCAAGGAATTCACGGGGAATGGTAAGAGAGGTGTGGAGAGCTTCCAGGAAAGGCTGGGACCCTGGTAACTGGTTGGATAGAGAGAAGAAGTCTGTAAGGATGCTGGGGAACTGCGAGTGTAAATAGGGGACTTGAGGTGCTTTGGGTGCATAGCGGGAGAAATTTAAGTACTGGTTCGGGTCCTTTGAGTTGGAGATGTCTTCTGAACATCAAGAGGAGCTTTCCAGTAGTCAGTTCTGGAGCCCAAGTGAGTGGGCAGGGCTGACCATTCATTTATTCATTCACTCATTCAGTCCACGTTGGTTAAGCATTTACTATATGCCGAGGGCTATACTGGGTCCTGCAGATGCAAAAAGAAAGGGTCTTCTATTCTAGTGGGAGAGTTTTGTAGAGGTTGTTGGGAGTGGAGAGGGTGACCAAAGGGAGAGAATGTGGAAGGGGAAAACTTCGGGCTGAGAACAGGGCTAGAGCGCTTCCTTGGAACTCCCAAGGACTCAGCAATGAGACAGGCTGGGATCTTAGCATATCAGGCTGACAAGAGAAGGGATGTGTCCAGGACATGGTAGGGTATATGCCTGGGGATGTGGGGCTTGGCTTTCAGAAGGAACCTTCAGGGAGAACACAGCCTGCAGGGCAATAGACAGTGTCCAAAGGGGCAAAAGAGTCTTGGACCCAGTTCCAGAGGCAGCCAAATCCAAGGGGAGCTGGTGTGATGGGGGCGTCAGCAGCAGCAGGAGGTCTGGGTGATCCTCAAAGGCAGGTGGGGATCTGCTTCTCTGGACTTTTCTACCCCATCAGAACTGGACTCTGGCCCACAGTTGCGGTGCAGGGAACTGGGTCCGGTCTCTACAGGGTTTGGCAAGAACTAGGCTGGGTCAGATGCTGCTCAAAGCCAAAGAAGGTGAAGATTAAGAACATGATGAGGCATTGGAAGCAACAGGTTTTGAATTCTCCTTCTAGAAGTTTAATAGTAAATTGGGGCTTCCCTGGCGGGTGGTTAAGACTCCACGCTTCCACTGCAGGGGTCACGGGTTCGATCCCTGCTCAGGGAACTAAGATCCCACGTGCCCTGTGGTGTGGCCAAAAGAATAATAATAAATAGATACATTTTATAAAAACAGTAAATTAGAGTTAAGAGAAAGTCACTTCAGTGAGTTATGAAGCCAGAGGAGGGCAGTTTGAGGTTCTTATTTTTTATGATAGAGGAGCCCTGTGCATATTTGTAGATGAAGGAAAGAGAATCAGTAGAGTTGGGTGGCTGGAGATGAGGGGAAGGAAAGGAGATGTTTGGTGAAACAAATCATGGGGAAAGAAGTAAGGGGTGGGCTCAAAGGCGTAAGTGAAGCTTGGCAAAGAGGAGGGTCACTCCACTGCTAAGCCTTCTCTGTGCTAAACTATATTTATTAATGTAATACATTGTTTTAGTTATCATAGAAATAACACCACCACTAGAGAAAGTTTGGAAAATAGAAACAGAATCCTACCACATTAACCACAACAGCTATTATTATTTTTGTACATTTCCTTCCATAGTAATATTAACAGAGACTTTTTCCATAGTTGTAATGAGTACATAAATTCCTCACGTCTTGCGTTTTCCACATAATGTGAGAGCACAGACATTTTCTAGGTTGCTACGTAGTCTTCATAATTACTTAAATAATATCCCATCAAGTAGCACAATAATTTATTCCACTAGTCCCCTGACTTTTTAAACTGTTTTTGAAAAAAATGGACAATATGAATAAACTAATTAAAATGTTCGCGTATATACATATTCTAGATGATCTCCTAGGCTGGATTCTCAGCAGTTACATTCGTAGGCCAAAGAGAACGAACATAATTTTCACGGCCCTTGTCATCTTTTACTGTGTGCTTGCCTCAGAATGGCTGGTTCTCAATTTTACAGTCACCAAAGTGAGCCCTTTTTCTGAATTCTTTACTTTCCTAAATTGGGAAGTCCACACGGCTCAGTGTAGAAAAGGTCATCATAACCTCCCAGAATTTTCCAAGCCAGTGATCTCTAGTGTCACCTTTGGCTGTTCATGTCCCCGGTCAGAGGGGTCAGGAGACCCAGTGCTGTTTCATATTTTAAGTCGCTTGGGTTGCCATGCTGTACAGACCCTGCTTACAATTTTACTAGAACTGGTTTGCCTCTTACCTGCTAACCTCTGACCTCTGACCTACTCACGACTTACCTAACTAACTTCACCCTCCTGCTAACACGCTGCCGGGTACTGCATGAGGCCAAAGATGACCGATGGGGAAGGTTGTCCTTCCTCCGTGCTGGGGCTGCTCTTGCTGAGGCTGAGCTCAAAGCCACCCACTCGTCCCACCTGCTGCGCACCTCAGGGTGTTGGCTCCACTTTAAAGGCAGCCCCATGGGTGAAGAAAACCAGAGATAAAGGCAAAGACATGATAAGGTGGCCATAAATCTAAAAAGTACGTTTTCTGGCATTATCAATTATCACTCAATTTTCAAATACGCATATGGAGTGGATATTCCAGTTTGGGGTGTGTGTGTATTTTTTTTTTTTTTTTTTTTAAAGACCTTTTAAAGAATTGTGCAGTCCTTTACACCCTCACATGCTGTGCTTGGCATTAAGAAGCTGTCGGGGCTGACTTGTAACTTGGAAGGGGGGAGGGCGGAGAGTCCGACAGCCCTGGACTGGCAGTTTACCCACGGAGAAAGCCCTGCTCCTCGGGGCCCTCATCTGGCCAGCAGTCTCACAGATGCACAGCCTGGGTGACAGAGAGTCTCAGAAAGAAAGGAAAACTGGCTTTATAAAATCTTGCCACCGCTTCTGCAAAGCAGCCATCCTTGGCCATAAAGAAGAACACGTTATTGGTGAGTATGTAGAAATGAGTGTCCTGAAATATCTGTAAGATGCGCTGTTGTACTTACACTGACGCTATGAACCTTTCAGCGGGAAAGTAGAGCACGGAAGAGATGAGCGCGCCTCTTGGGCCTCTTGCTGACACGTGGACCGTATCGTTTGTCCCCGCAGATATAAGCAAGGACACGTCCTGCGCGGAAAACTGTACCTGTTCGTCCTGCTTGCTCCTGGCCCCCACCATCAGCGACTTGCTCAATGACCAGGACTTACTAGACGTGATCAGGATAAAGCTGGATCCCTGTCACCCAACAGTCAAAAACTGGAGGAATTTCGCAAGCAAGTGGGGCATGCCCTACGATGAACTGTGTTTCCTGGAGCAGCGGCCCCAGAGCCCCACCCTGGAGTTCTTACTCCGGAACAGTCAGAGGACGGTGGGCCAGCTGATGGAGCTCTGCCGGCTCTACCACAGGGCCGATGTGGAGAAGGTCCTGCGCAGGTGGGTGGACGAAGAATGGCCCAGGAGGGGGCGTGGAGAGCACCCCAGGAACTTCTAGCCCTCAGCTCCTTCTCATCGGCCTCTTCGGACCCTGAGCCGAGCACAGGTTAAGGGGCAATGTGAATCTGTTCTTTTTTAAGTTTAGGTGAAGGACGTGGGACAGCAGACCTTAGTTTTCCCCAAAGCTGGTGGTTTTGTGGAGGGTAGGGTATGTTTTTGGTGGCGGATTTTCCTTTAGTTTTGCACATCTGTTTTTATTTAATATTTGAATCTGGAATTGGGAAAAATATGTTGTAGGCTCCTATAGGGACCAGGGCCAAAGCTACAGTCAGAGTGGATTCATGCCATGATGAAAATAAAAGTATCCTCTCCCTTAAAAACTGAAGACTGAACTCAGAACTAAAAGTCATCATCCACAAGATCCTTTATGATTAATGACACTCCCACAGCTTAGAAGGAAACCACAGAGAGAAGTTTCCCTTTAGTCTGTTACTCTTTTTGTTGTAAAGTACTTAGGTGAATTCACAGGCTGCTGGCATTGCGTGGTGATACTCTTCAGGACACATGCCAGCTTTCTTATTCAAATACTTGTGTAATCTGTGCACTATCAAAGAGGACTTTGCTTGAGTGTTTTTGAAAGAAATGCAAAAACCGATGGTGATTGGGAGGACAGAGTCAGGAGTTAGCAGGGTAATAAGGACCATGGGAAAGGTGTTGACAAAGAGTAGGCCCGGGGCTTCCCTGGTGGCGCAGTGGTTGAGAGCCCGCCTGCCGATGAAGGGGACATGGGTTCGTGCCCCGGTCCGGGAGGATCCCACATGCTGCGGAGCGGCTAGGCCCGTGAGCCATGGCCGCTGAGCCTGTGCATCTGGAGCCTGTGCTCTGCAATGGGAGAGGCCACAACAGTGAGAAGCCCGCGTACCGCAAAAAAAAAAAAGGCCCTTTCAGTACCCTTGGCTTTTTAAAAATTAATTTAATATTTACTTTTATGTCTTGTATATCAGGCTGAGTGTTTCACCCCTGAGAGAAAGCTCAGTTAAGAAATAAAAACTACCTGGCCTGTGGGTGAAATGCAACCCCGTCTAGCACCTACTACCCCACCTTAAAACAGGGCCCAATAATACTACACAGCACTTTAGCGAAGAAAGAGATATCTTTACTGGTGATACTGGGAAGGAAGCTATGCATTAAAACCTAAATTTCAAAGGATTTTAAACCAAGTGAAAAATTGGGTCCAAAGACTATCCCCTGTTCTCGTTTGATGGTTTACTGTGGAAGGTGGTGTGGATGGGAGCGTTTGCTATTAGAGAGAATTTTCTAGGTTTGGGGGGTGGGCGGGGGGAGGGAGAGAGAAGCCTTGGTTTACTTGGCGATTTCATAGAAGTGCGATTTGGTTTTGGCTATAGGTTTAGAAAATTAAGGCACTTTGTCCAATTTGGGAGGATTCTGTTTAAATCCCTGACTAAAATAAGCAAAAATGATGAATGACATTGATTGGAGTACAAGGGAGATTAGGATTAACTCAAAAGAAAGTTGTTTCCTAAACCACTGACATTTTTTCCCCGCTAGCAGTTACAGCAGTTTTTATGAGGTTGCTGGTATATAGTCAGCCTGACCGTCAAATGTAAACGCTAAACTTGCAAAATCACTATAGAGACTTACTCATCACTTCTGATTCAGTCAGTGCTAGTCACACCTAGCTCGTCTTGTCAGATTTAGCAGATAAATGTCAGGTTTATCAAAAGATGTAGTCAAGGGCTCCCCTGGTGGCGCAGTGGTTGAGAGTCCGCCTGCCGATGCAGGGGACGCAGGTTCGTGCCCCGGTCCGGGAAGATCCCACATGCCGCAGAGCGGCTGGGCCCGTGAGCCATGGCCACTGAGCGTGCACGTCCGGAGCCTGTGCTCCGCAACGGCAGAGGCCACAACGGTGAGAGGCCCGCGAACTGCAAAACAAAAACAAAAACAAAAAGAACCAGTTGCTAACATCCCCGACTTGAAATCCAGAAAATGATGAAAATTTTCTCATGGAAACACTGTTGGTGATCAGACTCTGTAGAATGGACAGTTCTGTGCTTCACAAATTCCTGGATTAACAGCTTTTTGTGGGCTGATTTGGGGACACTAGTCCCTACTGGCACTGCTTCTGTGGGACATGTTTCCAAAATTCCAAACTTCAGATTTCAGTTTCAAAACTGACTTTAGGCAGAATTTATCCTCATAGATTTCTTGAACATGGCTCTTGTTCATAAGTGTCAACTGAACTTATCTTTGAGTTGGATCAAAAACATTAAGACACAGAATTCAGGTGGATTAGCTATGGGCAGAGCTAAGCACGCTCCTTATCTTTTTTTTTTTTTGGCTGCATTGTGTCTTCGTTGCGGTGCGCGGGCTTCTCATTGCGGTGGCTTCTCTTGGTGCGGAGCACGGGCCCTAGGGCATGTGGGCTTCAGTAGTTGCAGCGTGTGAGCTCAGTAGTTGTGGCTCGCGGGCTCTAGAGTGCAGGCTCAGTAGTTGTGGCACATGGGCTTAGTTGCTCCGCGGCATGTGGGATCTTCCCTGACCAAGGATTGAACCCATGTCGCCTGCATTGGCAGGCAGATTCTTAACCACTGCGCCACCAGGGAAGTCCTGTCCTTCATATCAGGAATTACAGGAAAACTGTGAGACCACAGAGCACCACCCACTCATCTCTCCATTTGGCGGCATTAGTTTGAAAGCCCTGATGGCTAATAATTTCCATCACTGGCTATGAAAGCTTAAATTTCTATTGTAATTGCATAGGGGATGTGCCAGGGTAGAAGGGATTTTTTTTAATATGGGATTTGATAAAAATATGTTGTTTTAATTTCACTCTACCATTATTTGCTCATATTTGCTCACATCTGTATCTGTTGGCATTTACCTTATGAAAAGTTTTAATTATTAAGAGTATGATATTAGCAGAGAGAGATTTAACCAAACATTGTTTTTAATTAAAGTTCATTCGGATTCTAGACCTTGACCAAACGGAGGATGACTTTCATTTGTGTTACATACAGAAATACCAAAAGTAAATCTCAACTAAAGTAGAACTATAATTCAATTGTGAAATAACCCAAAATAACTTTGTTTAAAGTTAATTTTTAACAAAAAATATTATAAAAGCATAAATATGCTGATATTGGGTTGGCCAAAAAGTGCCTTTAGTTTTTAAGTAAAAATAAAGGACATATTTTTCATTTTCACCAAAAACTTTATTGAACAACGTATTCACCCTTTTGTTTTACTACCTTCTGCCACTTTTTAGGCAACTTCATAATTCCATCTTCCCCAAACTTTTTATCTTTTTGAGCAAAGAACTGTTCCAGGTGCCTTTTACAGTCTTCCAGGGGATTGAAGTTTTTTCCATTAAGAGAATTTTGTAAAGACCTAAATAAATAGGGCTTCCCTGGTGGCGCAGTGGTTAAGAATCCGCCTGCCATTGCAGGGGACACCGGTTTGATCCTTGGTCCGGGAAGATCCCACATGCCGCGGAGCAACTAAGCCTGTGCGCCACAACTACTGAGCCTGCACTCTAGAGCCTGCGAGCCACAACTACTGAGCCCACATGCTGCAACCACTGAAGCCCACATGTTCTAGGGCCCATGCTCCACAGCAAGAGAAGCCACCGCAATGAGAAGCCCATGCACCACAACAAAGAGTAGCCCCTGCTCACCGCAACTAAAGAAAGCCCACATGCAGCAATGAAGACCCAACGCAGCCAAAAATAAATAAATAACTATATGAATTAAAAAAAAAAAGACCTAAATAAATGGAAATCTGAAGGTGCAATGTTTGGTGAATACAGTGGATGAATCAGAACTTCCCAGCCAAGCTGTAACAGTTTTTTCCTGGTCATCAAAGAAACGTGGTCTTGCGTTATCCTGATGGAAGAGTATGCATTTTCTGTTGACTAATTCTGGACGCTTTTCGTCGAGTGCTGCTTTCATTTGGTCTAATTGGGAGCAGTACTTGTTGGAATTAATCATTTGGCTTTCCGGAAGGAGCTCATAATAGAGGACTCCCTTCCAATCCCACCATATACACAACATCACCTTCTTTGGATGAAGACTGGCCTTTGGTGTGGTTGGTGGTGGTCCATTTTGCTTGCCCCACGATCTCTTCCATTCCACATTGTTGTACAGTATCCACTTTTCATTGCCCGTCACAATTTGTTTTAAAAACGGAATGTTCTCATTACTTTAAGTAGAGAATCTCATGCGGAAATACAGTCAAGAAGGTTTTTTTCACTTATGTGGAACCCAAACATCAAAGCGATTGACATAACCGAGCTGGTGCCAATGATTTTCAGCGCTTGATTTGGATATTTTGAGTATGTCGACTACCTCCCGCGTGGTATAATGTTGATTGTTCTCAATTAATGTCTCGATTTGATCGCTATCAACTTCAATTGGTCTACCTGACTGTGGAGCATCGTCCAGCGAGAAATCTCCAGCACGAAACTTCTCAAACCACTTTTGACATGTTCGATCAGTCACAGCACCTTTTCCCTACACTGCACAAATCTTTTTGTGCATTTCCATGCATTTTTACTTTTCTTGAAATAGTAAAGCATAATATGCTGAAAATGTTGCTTTTTTCCTTCCATCTTCAATATTAAAATGGCTACACAAAAATTCACCAATTTTGATAATTCTTTTTTAAATGCACGCTGATATGACAGCTGTCACATACAATCTTAACAAAATTGTTTCGAATGAAGTTAAAGACAGCTAAGTGCTACTACAGCCATCTTACGGAAAAAACCGAACGAACCTTTTGGCCAACCCAATACTTTACAAAGGCAAAAGTGGAAAGAAAGGAAATTATTTAAGTTCATTAATACTTAAGAGCTTTGGGCTTCCTTGGTGGCGCAGTGGTTAAGAATCTGCCTGCCAATGCAGGGGACACAGGTTTGAGTCCTGGTCCGGGAAGATCCCACATGCTGCAGAGCAACTAAGTGCGTGCGCCATAACTACTGAGCCTGCGCTCTAGAGCCTGCGAGCCACAACTACTGAACTCACATGCCACAACTACTGAAGCCCGCACGTCTAGAGCCCGTGCTCCACAAGAGAAGCCACTGCAATGAGAAGCCTGCACACTGCAACAAAGAGTAGCCCCCACTCGCCACAACTAGAAACCCGCGCACAGCAACGAAGACCCAGTGCGGCGAAAAACAAATAAATAAATAAATTTATATTAAAAAAAATACTTAAGAGCTTTGCTTATTATACTCTCTGTAGGGATCCATGTTGAATTGACCACATTATAAACTAAACTGCTTCTGATGAGGTCCTTTTGCTATTAGAAGGATGAAATCTCTTTAGCTAAGTTCCGAGATACACTCTTTTAAACAAAACTCCCATCTGCCATGTTATGATGTTATGTGATGAGGCTCTATGTAATAAGCATTTTATTTGGTTGCAATAGAAAATTTCTGCTTGCAAGGGAATGGAAAGCAAAGCTGTTTTAGACACCACACACCCCCAGGACGTATATGCACAGAGGAAGACTCAAGTAGACGTAGACAAAAATAAAGCACAGGGCTTCCCTGGTGGCGCAGTGGTTGAGAATCCGCCTGACGATGCAGGGGCACGGGTTCGTGCCTCGGTCCGGGAAGATCCCACATGCCACGGAGCGGCTGGGCCTGTGAGCCATGGCCGCTGAGCCTGCGCCTCTGGAGCCTGTGCTCCACAACGGGAGAGGCCACAACAGTGAGAGGCCCACATACTGCAAAAATAAATAAATAAATAAAGCACAGGGTTATTTAAAATTATAAGATTTAAAATTGTTAGGGCTTCAATTGTA